TCAGCTGCGATTACCTGGTAGAGCAAATCTCTCCCGGCTAACACCCCCACACCCACATGTATGAGTAATAGGCACAGAGCTGCCTTTCTGTGCAGAACTCTTCCTGAGCCTGGAAACATTACACATTTAAATGTGGTAACATTTAACTAGAGCTGGCAAGCGATTAAAAAAAGTGTGATTAATTGTGCTGTTAAAACAATAATAAAATACCATTTACTTAAACAGGTTTGGATGCTTTCTACACTTTCAAATATATTGATTTGCATTACAACACAGAGTACAAAGTGTAAAGTGCTCACGTTTGTTTTTTAGAGTGCAAATATTGTAATTAAAAACATATAGTATTTTCAGTTAATCTAATTCAAGTATAGTAGTGCAATCTCTTTATCCTGAAAATTGAACTTACACATCTATAATTGTGGACAAAAAAAAACTGCACTCAAGAACAAAACAATATAAAACTCCAGTCCACTGAGGCCTACTTCTTGTTCAACCACTTGTTCAGGCAAACAACTTTATTTACATTTGCAGGAGATAATGCTGCCCTCTTCTTGTCACCTCAAAGAAAGAACAGGCGTTCACATAGCACTGCTACAGTCGGCAACACAATGTATGCCAGAGGTGCTAAAGATTCATATGTCCCTTCATGCTTCAACTGCCATTCTAGGGGACATTTGTCCATGCTGATAATAGGTTCCGCTTGATAAAGATCCCAAGCAGTGCAGGCTGACTTTCATTTTCATCATGTGAGTCAGATGCCATCCCATTGTTACCATCTCTGCGTTTTGTCAAATCTGCAGGGAAAATGTTTTTAAAATGAACATGTGCTGCGTCATCATCCAAGACTGCGCTAATGTGAACTATATAGCAGGAGACATGTCATTCTCCCCCAAGAAGTTTTGTCTCAAATGTTAACACTCTTTTTTTAAACAAGTGTTGTCAGCATGGAAGCATGCCCTCTAAAATGGTGGCCAAAGCATGAAGGGACATACGAATATTTAACATATCTGGCACATAAACATCTTGCAATAGCAGCTACAATAGTGACATGCAAATACCTGTTCTCACTTTCAAGAAACATTGTAAATAGGTGGGCACCTTTATAGAATCATAGAACACGAGAACTTTGAAGGGACCTCCAGAGATCATCAATCTAGTACCCTGCCCTCATGGCAGGACCAAACACGGTCAAGACCATCTCTTATAGATGTCTACCCAACCCTGCTCTTAAATATCTCCAGTGATGGAGATTCCACAACCCCCCTAGGCAATTTATTCCAGTGTTTCACCACCATGACAAGTAGGAAGTTTTTCCTAATGTCCAACCTAAACCTCCCTTGCTGTAGTTTAAGTCCACTGCTTCTTGTCTTATCATCAGAGGCCAAGGAGAAAAATTTTCCTCCCTCCTTCTTGTAAGATCCTTCCATAACTGAAAAAAAAGCTTGTTTATCTTAGAAATTGGCTGAACAAGAAGTAGGAACAAGTGGACTGGTAAACTCTAAAGTTTTACTTTGTTTTGGAGTGCAGTTATTTAACAAAAATGTCAACATCTGTAAATTGCACTTTCATGATAGCCTGCACCATTGTATTCATGAGGCGAATTTAAAAATACTATTATCATTTTTCTAGTACAAGTATTTGCAATCAAAATAATAGAAAGGGAGCACTGTACACTTTCCATTCTGGGTTGTAACAGAAATAAATATATTTGAAAATGTAGAAAAACATCCAAAATGTTTAATTTCAGTTGGTATTCAATGGTTCAATAGTGTGATTAAAGCTGCAATTTTTGAGCTAATGTGTGAGTTAACTGATTTGTTGACAGCCCTATATTTAACCATTAGGGTTTTTTTAAAAAAACAGTCTATATCTAGGTAGAACATGATTCCAATTATGCCTCTCTCAGAGTTATAGTGCATGTTGCTTTTCACATGGCTCCCCGAAAATGCCACTTCTTGGTGAGAACGTATGTCGACTCCAGCTGCAGAATATATTTAATCTGACTAGGGAAACCGGAGACCACAGGTCTCAAACTCCCAGCCTGCAGGCCATCCTCAGCCAGAGCAGTTGTGCAATATGGTGTAGTATGCCTGGTGGGGGACCTGTCCATTACTGCCCCAAGCCCTGCCCCTTCCCACTATTGCCCATCCTCTCCCCGCTCCATGGCACCCCATCCCTCAAGGATGCGGCTTCAGGGATCATGGGGAGGAGGGTGCCTGGTGTTGCAGTGGGCATGCTCCTTATACTACCTGCGAGTGCGTTTGACCAGTGTGCCCCACTTCCCCTGCTACTCCTGCTGCTGCAGGGAGTGAGGGGGGCCCATCCACTGCTACTGAGCCACACCAGGCCCCCTCCCTCCATAATCCCTGAAGTCCCATCCTCCAGGATGGGGTGCCATGGGTGGAGTGAGGAGTGATGGCATGAAGGGGCGGGGCTTGGGGGCCCGTAATGGACAATCCCCCTCCCCAGTCTGCCAGAGTCCCAGGCTGGATTGCGCAATTGCTCCAGCCAGAGATGTCCCATGGGCTGGGAACTTGAGACCCCTGCCAGAGACTAGACTGTCTGTTTTTTAACCAGGTGTAGCTGTTTGAGCTGAAAAGAGTGACTGATAAGACAAGTATCCCCTCCTCCACTGACACACATGTAAGGCTTGGACTATTTTTCAGGCAGACACATGGTATTAAACTGTGTTGCCTACTGACCTTTGGGAATCTGATAAGACCTCCTTCTCCAGCTTCAGCTCTGGAATCAGAGAGGTTTCTGGAGAATGAGGCTTTCCCTGGGCACTGCTCTGGTTGGCACCTTTCCAAGGGATCCTTCTTGGCTGAGGTTCTTCTGATCAGAGCCACTAGGAGAAAAAGAACAGGACTATTCTACACCCTCCCCCACCCTTGGGATCTGAGTCACCCCAGCATCAGCACATCAGCTGAGTCACTGGCGCCCCTTTCAGGGGCTGAAGGGAACCCACCTGCTGTCTGAGCCAATCACAGCCTCTGATTGTTTTACTCCCCCCTGTTCCCAGCATGCCGAGCAGGATCCTGCGCTGGAACTAGGTGCTATATGAGAACTGACTCATTAGGGAGCAGCTACTTGATAAGGCAGGTGGTGGTAGAGGGAAGGCAGGCAGCTCATCCTGCCCTAACTTTGTTATGGAGAGCGGTAACTGGGGTAGCTGGCATCCTCATTCCATGGTCCACCCCCAGGCTCCTAAGCCTATTGAATTTTTTTTTTGAGCTTTATGATTAATTTGAAGGAACAAGCTACCAAACAAATAAAGGGAAAGAAAAGGAAAAACCCAGCTAGTTGGGGTCAGAGCTGACGGACCCAGGCTGGCTCCTCTGTGGGGACAGGGATCTTGCCCGCTGTCCACAAAGTCCATCTTCTTCCTCTTTGATTTGTGAAGCCTGAGAGCTGAATCTCACCCCAACAGCCAAGTGGGAACCTGTCCCTGCTCTATTTTAAGGTGTACTGAAATGTATTAAAATGGATAAGTACCGTTTGACACGACATTGAAGCCGATGCTGACTGCCTGGTATGCTTCAGGCAGGAGAAATGTACACAAGAGAAAAATCACAGATGTGAAGGGAAATGTCCCTTCAAATAAAGCCTTGTCCCTTGTTTTTCACAGGGTTTTTCCCTTACTGCAATCAGCAAAGATGATCGCTCTGTTCGGGTCTCCCACCAGGGCTGGGTTGGATGAAGGCTCTCCAGGCCTTTGGGAACAGCCCCACAATTGGCCCCTGTGGCCCCATTTGCGCACTTGACGTGGCAGTGCCCTCAGTTCCACGCTTGGAGAGGCAGGTACAGCAGCACGGAGCCCACTTCTTGCCTAGAAGCAGCAGCAAGTTTTCCTCCCTTTTGTGAGCAACAGGTTTCTCCTGTTCTTGTCCCAGCACCTGAAGTGGGTGGGCCAAGCCCCTCAGAGCAGGGGGGCTCACACTGCGGGGTGCACAGAGCATAATCCCCTCCTCAGAGTTATTGAGTCAGGCTCCCTGCAGACTCTGGCATCCGTGACGCTTCTGCCCTGTTTTCAAACAATTCCACCCAGGCAGGCTAGACGTACAGGCTACATCTACATTGGCAAGATTTTGCGCAAATACTTTTAACGCAAGAGTTTTTGCGTTAAAGTATTTGTGCAAGAGAGCATCTACACTGGCATGTGCTTTTGCGCAAGAGATGTGCTTTTGTGCAAAAGCATCCGTGCCAGTGTAGACGCTCTCTCGTGCAAGAAAGCTCCGATGGCCATTTTAGCCATCGGGGTTTATTGCGCAAGAAAAGCATGTTGCCTGTCTACACTGGCCTCTTGCGCAAGAACAGTTGCGCAAGAGGAGGCCTTTTTCCTGAGCGGGAGCATCATAGTTCTTGCGCAAGAAGCACTGATTTCACACATTAGAAGTCAGTGTTCTTGCGCAAGAACTCCCCGCCAGTGTAGAGAGGCAGCATGTTTTTGCGTAAAAGCGCTCGCTTTTGCACAAAATCATGCCAATGTAGACACAACCTAACTGTTTGTGTCTACTAAAACAGAGATTGTGAGATTACCAGGACTCCAGGAGCTAGGGCCTAGCATTAGCTTTTGTGCCTCTGCCTCAGTCCCACCAGGGCTTTCCTCTGCCACACCGCAGAAGTGTTTGCAGTTGGAGCCAAGGTACCAACTTGGGTCTCTGAGGCTGTGGCCTTCCCTTTCCCCCCTTCCCTGGTCCCTCCTGACTCCCAGGACCTAGGACTGGAGGCGGGAGGAAAGAGTTGGAGCCTGTTCCTTATCAGGAGCCAGGCGTGTGCAGCAGCTGCAGAGGTAGCTAATGGGAAGCCGGGGATGGAGCCGAGCGCGCTGGTGGCGTTTCTCCCTGCAGGCTGCTGCGGGGACACGCTGTGGCCTTCCCTTTCCCCCCTTCCCTGGTCCCTCCTGACTCCCAGGACCTAGGACTGGAGGCGGGAGGAAAGAGTTGGAGCCTGTTCCTTATCAGGAGCCAGGCGTGTGCAGCAGCTGCAGAGGTAGCTAATGGGAAGCCGGGGATGGAGCCGAGCGCGCTGGTGGCGTTTCTCCCTGCAGGCTGCTGCGGGGACACGCTCGGGTTGCCTGTCTGAAGGTGCCTGTGGCCGCGGAGATGGGGGCGGGGGGGGGGGGGGTGCGCC